ATGCCAACTGCACATAAATAAAACTGGAAAAAATCAGTTATTGGGGGGAAATTAAAAGTTTACTGTAGCAGCATACACAAGTGCACAGTCCATATTTGTTAGAGGTGACATATCTGTCACATAAACTACCAAGAGACTGTTTTTGTGAAGCGTCCTTCAAAAATCATAGTTTAACTTAAAAAAAGATGTAACATAGATCAATAATAAAATACTTATACTATGTGAGTGAGAGAGTGAGTGGTTGTCTCGTTTGTCTCCATGTGTCCCTGTGTTGGACTGGAGACTTGTCCAGGGTGTCCCCCGCCTCTCGCCCCACAGCCCAAAAAGGAAGAAACCGGTAAAAGATAATGGATGGATGGATATACAGTATATACAAGCACAGTATATATGCAAGTTACAGAATGCATTATATATACTTGGTACTGTTGCATTTTTGCAAGTTGACATTTAGCATCTTCAGTGCTACCAGACTGGTTGGTGGCAATTTTTAGATAAGATAAGAAAAGATAAGATAGGACTTTATTGATCTCACAGGAAATTGTTGTGCCAGAGTTTCAGTACAAAGGAACACGAGGAATCGCACAAGATGTAAAAATAAGAGAATGTAAAAAATAACAGAGGTATAAAAATACCAATAATTAAGGTCTAAAACAGGTTAGGTGCGGACAGAATCATAGGTGTTTACTGTGGTGCAGGATAAATTTGTATTGTCCTCTGTGTAGAAAGGGGGAGGAGTTGAAAAGTAAGAATCAGTCATTTTACATCAGAAAGACCCTCTACAGGGGGTTCAGTCATGCCCCCATTCACGAAACATAGGAAAGTCTAAAATGCAGAAATCACCACTTACAGGCAGGTTTATCAATTGCCCTCTGTCATCATAAACAACACTACTGAAGTTCTATTATCAGGACATTAACCATTAAAGCTCAGATATTCAAAGGAATACATATCAGGGCAGAGTGTTAAACTACGACCATCTTTGTGTTGAGAAGGGACAAAGTTATAGCTGTTCTGTAAATGATGCTGTGTTTAATCTCAAACAATATTGAGTGATCTTCTAAGACATTTCAATGCTTGGAATATGTGTTGAGGGTGAGTGTCAGGAACTAGCACATCTACAAACCTGACTAAGTTATAGCCATTTTAGTGCTGGCTAAGTTTGATTAACTGTAATGGCCATACTGAAATGAGTTGACTCCAAAGATTATTCAGTTGTATGTTCAATAATTTATTTCTGAGAGTTTCACTCAAATCCTACCAGTGGTTTTATGAGATATTTTGCTAACACTGTTGACAATTGAAATTACATGGCCAAATACACATTATTGCCTGCAGCTGAAGGGAAAGGGCCAATAACATAATAATCTTCATGATTTACAAATTATGTAAGAATTGATTCAAAATTAATATTTCCTAATTTCAGTTTGTTTCATTCCAAAACTATCAAATAAATATTTCCATCAGATGGTACCAGATAATGGTACTTCCTCCAGTTATTTAATAGTTAACAATGGTGTACCACAAGGCTCTGTCTTAGGACCCACCCTCTTTAGGTAATGTAGGTCGGAGCATCCTTGACGCATCCTTACATTTCTACGCTGATGACACAGTTGTTTATTGTCGAGCTAAAACAGTTGCTAAGGTTTTCCAGCATTTGCAATCTGCTTTCGACATCATCTAGTCTGCTTTGTTCAATCTCAAACTTGTCCTAAATGCCAAAAAATTCCAAAGGGATGCTGTTTTCAAACAGGAACTCGGTCCCAGCAGTTCTTCCGTTGATTTTATTTTCGAATGGTGTTCCTATTGAGTTTGTCGATTACTACAAATATTACCGAATTAGGCAAAAGGGTCTTTTCCTACTCTGGTCCTCTTTCCTGGAATATCTTGCTAAAAGATCTGAAGCTCTTGACCTTGAGCTCTCTAAGTGGCTTCAAACATCTGCTAAGTTCAGACATGTCCCTGTTTTTAGTTTTCTACACTGCTCTTCAACCTAGCTGTTTTTTGTTACTTTTCCTTTTAAATACCATTTTATTTTCACTTGTTTAAAAAATTCTCAATCTGTACGCATCCTTTATGTTTGGCTATTGTTGTCTTTGTTGTCCACTGTCGTCATCACTCTTTGTTAAAATCAGGTCTCTCTTGTAAATGAGTCCCCGTGGCTAAATGGATTAACCTGTACAAATAAAGGTTGAATGAATGAAAAAGGTGTACTCAATAAATCTTCCTTACACCCAGTCAACTATTTTCTAAACTTTTATTTGTTTGTTTTAGGGATGCACAATATTATCGGCATGGTATCGGCCGATATTAGCGATACGTTAAATATCAAACATCGGCCATTCCATCAAAATAACTCACCGATATTAAAGGCGCCGTTTATATTTCTGTTTTTGTATAACAACCCAGTGACAAGGATGCCTGCAGCGCCAGCACAACGTGATGACGCCACGCGCACAGTTGAGTTTAGATTTGTGAAAATTTACAAATTTACAATGTTTGAGTGTTGTCATTGTGTTAGAGTAAATGTCATGAATAAATTTGACATTAAACATAATCCAAGTTGAAGTGTTACATCATTGTCAGCATCATTTGGTATCGGCCAAATTGACAAAGAGCATGCAGAATAATGTAGTATTTTAATTCCACAGCAGAGACAGCTCTGTAGTCTCTGTAAGTAGATCTAGGGTAAAAATATCTGTATTGGTATTGGTTATCAGCCAAATAAGTTTTAACATATCAGCATATTGGATATCAGCCAAAAATCCAATATCATACATCCCTAGTTTGTTTTTATGTAGCAATAGCATTGAACTGAACTCTGTTTTGTTTCTTTGAAAGAGCTTACATTTGTTGTCTGCCTTTAGTTTTCAATCAAACAATATCTCAATATTCTTAAACTCAGGACTCAGGCAACTAAAACAGCTTACTTTTTTATGAAATGAAGCATTTAAATTTAAGCCATGTTCGCCTCGTCGTGCTCCGTTTAGTTCATGCCCATGTGTGAGAAGCAGACACAGGAAAGAGCTTTCGGTCTGAGAGAGCTAATATATTTGCACAGGCAGCATTAGAGCTTGTTTTTCATTTTGTATTTGGCTCTCCCGATTTCCCAGTCTCCATGGAGATGGCTGTTAGTATGTCAGGCGCTGGGCCCTCCCGCTCGGCCAGATGCATACCTCCTGAAACAGCTGCTCACGCTGCCATTCGTCCGGGTTGGCATATGTTTCCCCCTTGTATGCATTTGAGATCATTCACACGTCTCACCAGTAAACTTTAATATGACTGTATTTGATTAGTTCTCAGCACTGTAAATCCCTCACAGGACGTTGGCTTACCAGGAATGTCCCTTCACGTTGGAGACTGAGAATATACGTTGCATGTGTTGTATTTCTGAAGAAAAGCAAACCACAGTAAGAGGCTGTATGTGTTTTGTCCTTTGATGATTGTAGAGAAACGTCCACATTTAGATGTGAACTATATGTATTTAGCACATGTAGGAGAGCCTTGTGCTATAAATAAAACAAGGCTGCAATGTGCTCGCTTGTGGAATAATCTATCTGACACTATGGAGAAAGGAGGAGAGAGGAGATGGAGAGAGGCAGACCAGATTCAGAATGGCTGCTGATGGATTGGCAAGGAGAAACAGAAACTAAAGAAAAGGAAAAATTAGAGCACGACGAGCGGCTCCTTCACAAGCTGCAGTAGTGAGCTGCATGATCAAAAACCAAAGATGTTTTTTTATTTATTTTACAACACTGTTGACAGTCCTTAAACTTAAAAAAAACAAAAACTGAAATAATTCAGATGAAGTTTGTTTTATTTGTAGTCTTCCCACCCGTGCTAAAGACATTTAAACATGTTTTCCGAACATATATTTTCATCCGTGTACTTGTGAGCAAAATGTCAAGCACCAAGTTAAGCTGATATTTTCCAGATGCTCTTACCATAAATACTCTGGCTGTTTGTGAATCTGCTTGCCTTGTT